ATTCCTAACTTGTGGGCTTCAGATCTTCCAAAGGGAATGGTGGCTTGACATCCACGCAGCGCCCCTCATGGGCACTGTATGGATTTTCTTGGTACCTGTCCAGAAAAACTCGTGCTATTCTACTAATAATATGAATTGGAGGTGGATACAAGGGACTTATTTCGTTTTATGTGGGATGTTAGGGAGGAACAAGGCGACCCTGGTGGTGCAGTGGTTAGAGTGCAGCATTGCAGGAAATCTTTGCCCACTGCCTGGCGTTCGATCCTGACCGGTTCAAGGTTGACTCAGCCTTCCGTCCTTCCGAGGTCAGTAAAATGAGGACCCGGATTGTTGGGGGGCAAAATGCTGATTGTGTAAATCGCTTAGAGAGAGGGTGTAAAGCACCATGAAGCGGTATATACCAGTGATGGCGAACCTTTTAGAGACCGAGTGCCCAAACTGCAACCCAAAACCCACTTATGCATCGTCGGGTGCCAGGTGGGTGTGGCCCATTGGCTGGGTGTGGCCAATTGGGGTGTGTGGCCCATTGGGTGGGCGTGGCTTTGGTGGTAACGGCAGACTGGGTGGGACTAAAAAGTTCAATTAATCAATTCCAACTTTGCAAGATCTTTTTTTTTCCTGCGAGAAGTTGAAATTGACTGATTGATTGAACCTTTTTTTTTGTACATGGCGGCGGAGGCCTAAAGCGAAAAGGTTTTATAAAACCCAGCTGAAGACCTAGGACTGGGGCGACGGCGCAGGTGCCCACAGAGAGGGCTCTGAGTGCCGCCTCTGGCACCCGTGCCATAGGTTCGCCATCACTGGTATATACTGTACATCTAACTGCTATTACTATTTTGTTACTATTAAATTTATAGTAGCTAGGAGTCCTTTTTTTCTCTACATCGAAAAAGAGAACGTTTGAAGATGATGTGGGCTGCCAGCTGTTTTTCAGGAACTGGGGAGTGAAAATTCTATTATTGGGGGATAATTCTTAATCTCTGGTAGTTTGTTGTTTTTTTAAAAAAAATCAGATAGCGGTTTGTTTGTTTTTACTGGAAGATGACTGTTGATCAGAATGGTCTATGATGAGATATCTGGACTAAATAGATTAACTTCCTACCTTACCGTAACTGACGAAGGTTTGTTTGTTTGTTTTTGCTATCTTTGAGCTGGTCTTTGAAGTGTTGCAAATAAAAAAAAATAAACTAAGCTGGGCTTGAGCTGCTGTGAATCAATGAAAAAAAGTCTCTTCCCATCATTGATTTAGACCCACAATGTTTGCCTAGCAAATAGAAACCCACTTTTTGTAATTATTTACAAATTTTGCTTAGCCTTCTTTCTGTAACCTGGTGGAATAATGGCACATAGAATTTTAATAGCTGCCAAGTAGCCATCTCCTTGCTTTCAACCCACTGATTTCCTCAATTTATACCAAGAGTAACCAGTCGCACGTTGCAAAATATTTTATGTAATTTGTTGTTGTTTTTTAATTTGGAACGCATAAATACGAAGGAAGCGTTTGTAAAGTTACTGCTGCCACCTAGTGGTTTACGTACTGCTGTAGCCGCCATGTACATTCTTAGGTGCAAAGCGCAAATTGAATATAGAATAACAGAGTTGGAAGGGACCTTGGAGGTCATCTAGTCCAACTCCCTGCTTGACCAGGAGCCCCTATACCATTTCAGACAAGTGGCTGACCACTCTCTTCTTAAAAACTTCCAGTGATGGAGCATTCACAGCTTTTGGAGGCAGGTTGTTCCACTGGTTAATTGTTCTCACTGTCAGGAAGTTTCTCCTTAGTTCTAGGTTGCTTCTCTCCTTGATTAGTTTCCATCCGTTGCTTCTTGTCCTGCCTCCAGGTCCTTTGGAGAAGAGGTTGACCCTCTCATCTTTTTAGGAGCCCCTCAAATATTGGGAGAGTGCTACTATGTCTATTATATCACTAGTTCTTCTTTTCACTAGACTAGACATACCCAATTCCTGCAACCGTTCTTCACAATGTTTTAGCCTCCAGCCCTCCAATCATCCTTGTTGCTCTTCTCTGTATGTATAAATGTACATGTATAAATTCTATCTATAAATCCCTGTAAAATTGAGATTTTATTCAACTCCTAATAACTGAGGCCACTGTTATTTATTTCCATCAGGCATTTTTTATGTCCCAACGCGATGCAATTGATTTCATGGATTCATGCAAGCAACATGATGTGCTGAGTAAATTGCATTACTTTGCGTGGGTGTCAAACTATTCTAAATGTCTAGGGAAGTAAATCATCTTTTAATCTGGATGGAAAAGGGTTTTAGATCCAGTCTAAGTTGATGCTAGATAGACCTGATATGCTGGATTCTTAGCTGACTCACATTCCTGTTCGGTTTGCTGTTAATATTGAGCAGGTATGGAACATCAGAGCTTATGATATGTTTTTATTCTTTGTGGCTTTATCTCTCTCTCTCTCTTTTCTCTCTCTCCACTCTCTGTCTCTGTCTCTTTTCTCTGTCTCTTTTCTCTCTGTCTGTCTCTCTTTCCCCCCCCTGTCTCTCTTTTCTCTCTATTTTTTCTCTCTCTCTCTCTCTTCTTTTCTCTGTCTCTTCTCTTTTCTCTCTCTGTCTGTCTCTTTTCTCTCTCTCTCTCTTCTCTCTCTCTCTCATCCATCTATCCGTCTGTCCATCCATCATCTATCTATCTATCTATTTATCTATCTATCTATCTATCTATCTATCTATCTATCTATCTATCTATCTATCTATCTATCTATCTATCTATCTATCTA